GAAGGGTCAGAAGGGACGAGCTGGACCAAGATGACAATCTAGCTCTCCCTCATCAATCCTGTTCTTCCAATAAGCATATTGTGGTAGATAGTCTCAGTATGTCTACTTCTCTGGGATTTTATTTTATTTTTAATTCTTTGAAGTAGCTGAGCCAATATTTAATAAGGAAACTTCTTTTTCCATTCTAGAGAAGAAAATATATTTTGTTACTGAGCATTTTCCTCTAAATATAAGTATCTATGCATGATCAGTTATTGTGATTGGGTTGAAAATATGCTAACCATATGTACTGCACTTTGTTCTTTTCTGCACATTCATACAATGCTAATCGGTATTTACCCATTCTCATTTTAAATTCCGAACTGTCTTTCATCCAATATTCAGAAAAAGGAGAACATTTATTGCTGGCTGCTATCAGACTATTCACCCCCTAGCTTACCCAACAGTTACTATCCTACAAAATTATACGAAGTATTTACTTTTCTCCAGATTGTCAAATATAAAAACTCTCATGCCAATCAAACTCTGTCTTGAAGAAACCAAACATTGCCACTGCTTTTCAGAAGCAAAGGAGGAATAGGAGGCCAAGACATCAACATAGGTCGCCTTTTACCCCGGACTTTTGTTTTTCTTTACTAAGAATGAAACTGATAAGTAAGCTTAAATGATTTGCTTTCAGAAAAGGTATAAACTTTATAGTTGTAAGCATCAGATTTCTACTTAGATTTTTTTTAAGACAGCATTGGAATTCTATGCTGACTGCATCACATAGCACACAGGTGCAAAGCAGAGCGTTTCAATATATAAAATGTTTAAAGCTATTGATAGACATTTTAGTGACATTTTTTCAATAGATTTCCTTTTGTGTTAGGAAATTACGAGCCTCTTTTATATTGACACAGTATACAATGTTTAAATTTTTAAAATGGATCTTGAATAAGCTAGTTCGAGTTTTAGAAAAATTGTCATAAAGATAGGGGATTAAAAATTTATTGTGCCCAAAGCATCTTTATAATTTGGCATTATAGTCTTAGAAATATTTAATACCTTTGTAGAAGGTAATATGAGGAATTGCTGTCTGAGAAAGAGCTATCCTTAATTATTATATCTCGTTCTTCATTTAACAGATACACTTATTAACTAATCCATGGTTTTTGTTAGGCCCATTTCATAGTCTTTAGCTTTGGTTTTTGACCTAACAAAACACCTAGGAATATCTACTTCTTTGCTATACTTCCAAGCTAAGTAGAAATAAGGGAGAAATCTTTGTTATAATATATATCTTGTGACCATCCTTCCTTCCTCTTTCCCTCCCTCCTTCCCGCCCTCCGTCCCGCCCCCTCCCTCTACCCCTTCTTCTCTCCCTTTTTCCCATCTCAGTAGATAATAACTCTCTCACTTATGTTGCTCTTGACTGACAGGAAACAGACAGAAGGAAATAGAAGTGAGTGTGATTCATTGGTATGCTAGTAACATCTTGGCCTCAGAAGAGAGAGTCTAGATGTGCCGGTGTATCCAGAATGATGCCCAAGAGAGAAAAGTAGGTTGGGAACATATTGAGCTAACCTATTTCTTATACATAAGTATGGAGTTACCTTTTCAGTAAGCCACACACTTAGGAAGATGCATGCAGTCCCAGTTTCTTCCCAAACACTTGATTTACCACCATATCAGGGAATGATTCAGGCACTTGAAGAAGTAGAATTAGCTATACGCAGAATAGAATTAAGGAATCAGACTTTGTCTCTGAATAATTATAATTCCATAAAGGAGAGCTCAGGCCCAATCTCAACAGGGTTTCAGGTGACAGTTTAACCAAATCACTGGGTTATTGCCAGTTAGAGAAAGAATCAGCATTCAGCCATGGGTGCCTTCTATGTCAGAAGTTGTATAGTCATGAATGTGTCTTTCAGATTGACAGCTCAGACCAAAGTGCTTTACTGAGAATCGTGTTCCTAGCTCCTCTGCAGAATCTGGTGATATGGGGATTTCACTTTCCATTACCAGCAAGTGCTCCATATTAGCTCAGGCTCCACTTTTCTGAAGGGAGAGGAGTGCTTTCCACAAGGGCAAGATGGATTTTAATAGTCATTGCTTAAGAAATAGGGGATTGAGTGGATTGGAATGAATTCAGGCTTTGTCTTATCAGGGAGCAAAGGAGTGACCAGGTGGCATAGAAATATAGGTAACTCCTTGCACATTAATAAGAGATCTAGAAGAACGGTAACTTTTGCTTTGCTTAGATTGACAACTGAAGCTGTTGTACTTAAGAGGGAGGAAACTTTCATTTTTTTAACTGGGGGTTTGGTTGGTTAAGAGCTCGCTCAAGAGTTTGAGCTCTGAGCAACAGCGGTTCGATTCCCGGCCCAAGCTGAGCAGCTGCTGAGCTGCCAACAGGTGGCAGGATGGCTCAGCTTAAAAAAAAAAAAGATCTTAAGTGGGGGTTTGGTGGAAATGTGTAGTATTGGATTCAGGAACCCTGAGTTCTGGTACTGGCCATGACCAAAACGCGTTGCCATCGTGGGCATGTCAGTTAATATCTCTAGCCTTCTGTTTCCTCACCTTTTAAACAAACCCAGAGTTAATTAGATTGTCTCCAACGCCCCTTCTAACCTTTATGTATTATCCCAAATACATAACATTTATCCTTCCCCCCCCTGCACATTCCTAGTTTATTGTTCTCCTCCATTTTACATAAAAAAGCACAATGTTCTGGGGTCTTAAAAAATACTTGGGCCAACATGTACAGTTTGGTGAGGTATTTATTAGAATATTTCTTAGTAAAAGGATAATGCCAAATCATGGTCAGCCAACTCTCCTGTGCCTTCACAATCATGTTTCCCATATCACTTTTCAGATTTCTCTCAGCACTGGGAGAGTTATTTGTTTTTGGAGGGATGTTAATCACCTTAGAGTAGTTTTATGTCATCCTCTATTTTTCTTTAAGCGTAAAAGCTTTATCCAAACTGCAGTCTGGAAGAAGAAATTCTGTATACATTCACACACTACACATTTGTTTTTCTTTTAAGTGTGGTGTTGCAGGTTTTCTCCTTTGCTAATATACCTTGACACCTTATAGTTGTAACCTGCTGTTCTCTTTAATTGCTTATTGTTATTAATTATATAGTGGTAACGTAGTTGGCTGCTTGAGCCACTTGGCTGTAAAGAAATTCATTTATCATTATTGCCATTGGAGCTACAGAAAATTGCCAGCATTCTATCTAGAGATGAATGCTTCTGAGCTCACATCCAGCAAAATTTTGAACATGGGTCAAATCCTTAAGTATTTGCTTTCTGCTCCTGCCCTTTGCATCTTCTAGTCTGTGCATCGAATACCTTCATTTTCTCTTATCTTTTGCGTCCAGTCCTTGATTTGCTGCCCTTTCAATGAAGTTTGTATATTATTCTCAGCACCTCATTTAGGGGCCTGTTCAAATAGTACCCTTTACTTTCTCCTCATATTCCTAACTCTAAATTTTCCTTGTTAGAGGAATTTAATTTCTTTTATAATGCAAATAACGTTCCTGCGTTTACAACTTTGTTAGGTGCACATTTCATTTTAAAACATTATACTGATCAGATATAGCTTTAAGCCCTGCCTTTCAATGAAAGTGATCATTATGACCTTTAAGAGTAACCATAAACCCCTTCTACCCACACTATAAATAATTAGATGTATTTAGATTTTCAAATTAGGAAACTGACAGTATATGAATGAATGAATGAATGAATGAATGAATGAATGAATGAATGAATGAAGCACATATGCAAACATGGGGATGTGTACTTGCACACACCCAGCTACTTCCCAATATCTGTAGTTTCTTTAAATCTGGGCTTAATTTACTATTCATGACCCCACAGCTGAGTATGCCACAGAGCAGCCAGGCCAGAGCACTCCTCTGCCTTCTGGCAGCATGACATTAAATTCACACTAGTTAAGCCAACTTAAATTGAGCCTCCTTGAACCTTCCTAAATAAAACTAGTGGCCTTAATTACAATCAGGCAATTTAAAGGTTATGGAGCTCTAACTAGTACTGCAGTATATCACTTTAATAATGCACAGGAAAATTTCTCTAAGGGGTGGCATCGTTTGATTAGAAGAATTCAAGTTTCACAGCACATTTCCAGTAAACTGTTTTTAGAAATCTTATTGCATTTATTGCGCCATTACCTTTTTTTTATTCTTCAAGGCCAAGTTTCTAAGGTCACACCAACAGAACAATAAAATGTGAGTCATTTGCAAATAAGGTGCAGTGTTGAGATTTTTGCATTGCTGCTAGTGATTTTCATAGTATCGCCACAAAGTGAAAAGAGCAAGGTAAAGTCCCTTAGCAATCTGATACCCTCACGCCCCACTGCAGACATGACTTGTGCTTCATGGTGAACCCGGATTCTATCACCACAGTTTAGGAGAGAATATGTCATCTTTGTGGTAGTCATCAATGTTGTAAGTTTCTTAGAAAGATGATGAGCTTTGGAAATGACCAACTAGTTTCTTGTCTTAAACCCAGGCACTTAAAACTCCATGTTCTTGAGATCCATAACATGTACAGAAGCTGCTGAACCTCATTCCATTTTTTTGTTGTTTGATTTGGGGTTTTGGGGGGGGGGAGGGGACACCATTTTGTTTTAAAATTTCAGCAGCAGCAAGCTATGCTTTCTAGCAAGGATAAACGCTTTTCAGTGTTTGGAGACTTTATCCTTCAGATAACTAGGGGCTTTATGCCAAGAAGAAGATTTTAAAAAATGAAAGACAAAGCCCTTACCCTTGCCATAAACTCAGCGCAGTAATATGAAAACACATGTCTGATGAGAGCTGTGTCCAGTGCCGCTGGCATTGCGGGCCGTTGCCATGTGGAATTCATACTGACTATTGCACCATCTCAGTTCTCAATTTTCCCCCAATAGATTTAACTTTAAAGCAGATTACATTTAGTTTATGCTGTATGAACTATCCTCTTTCAATTTTACCAATTTGTGTTTTTTTTTTGTACAGTACTCGAAGGTAAATATACCTGTACTTCCACCAGTGCCAGAAGTCCCAGATGTGAGGGCATTAATAGTAGGTATTTAATATCAACCAAGAGAAATTTTAAACAAAGAGTGAAATAATTGCATACTTCTGATTTAACCAATTAGTTAAAAGGATGGGGCTTTGTAATATAAGAATACATAGCTATTAATACAAATTGTTTAAAACATGAACTATGTGTCATGGATGCATGGTGTAGATACTTCCCTATGACTTGGGACAAGTGAAAGCCAGCGATCCCTTCTTTTATGCGGTTCTTTTCTGTATTTCAGGTATAAAATACATTATAACATTTTTCCTCTTGAAATAAGGGATAAGTTTTGACTCATAAGTTTCTTGCCAGAGAAAAGCTGGCAAGTAAGACTGCTACTTTGTTGTTAATGCTTTCTTTTCCAGAGCATTTTAATCTCATTTCAGGAAACAGTGAAGGCGAGCAGTGCAAGGTAAATTTTGCTAGTCCAAATTTGTCATACACATAGGGTTTAATGCGCCAAAGAATGGAGCTAACTTTTGAAACTCAATTCATAAATAATAAATATTGGTTTGGTATTAGTCTCGGCATTTTATTCTGATGAAGTTAGATGTAGGACTAGCTAAATATATATTTCCCATAAATTCAATAAATATTTATTGAGTCGCAGCGAGGAGCCACATACCGTTCTGGGGACTTGGCATACATCAATGCACGAAACAAATGCCCTTGCCCTCCCGAAACCTGCCTTTTTGCACAAATTGATGAATAACCCAAACTGAGTGCTTGGCACTTTCTTGGTATTAAGATGTCTGGGCAGCCACCCTCTACCCTCTAATAGACAAGTCAAGGGCTGAAGTGCATTACTGAATTGGAAACCTGCTTTGTCCAATCATAGTGTATGTCTGATTATTATGGGAAGCTGAAGGGGATTTTTTTTTTTTTTTTAGATTTTATTTTTATTGGGGAATTGGGGGAATGGGAACAGTGCTGGGGAATCGGGGGAAGGGGAACAGACAAGTTGCTGTCGTTTTGTTCTTCAGTCTAGTTGTGGAGGACGTTGCTTCACTGGCCCAAGTTGGCACCATCATTGCTCTCTTCCTGGACGAGGCAGATCAGTCACCGGCTTCTGGACGGCCGCTCACTGCGGCTGCTGGCCGCTCACGCTGGCTGCTGGCTACATACGGTAGCCCATGGCAACCCACTGCCACAGGGGCTGCAGCCTACGCCGTCGCCGGCGACTCATGGCAGCCCAGCTCCAGGTTGAGCTGTTGTTCAGCATCTTAGCTGTGGAGGGCAGTGTCACTGGCCCTCATATGTGGGATCCTAACCGGGGCCCTCTGGCATCGCAAGCCAGTTCTTAACCATTGCGCCACTTGGCCAGCCCAAGGGATTTTTTTTTTATATACTGTCTTTGTGTGCTCACAAGCTTTCTGTCAAGGCAGAGAACAGAGCAGCACCAAAGATTCAGTGGTGAAAAACTTTGTAAAAGAGAAAGGGTTAGTTTCATGTATTTAAATGAGCATAAATAAAGGAGAAAGTTGTTCAAGTAAACCAGGTCCCATTCACTGGAGGACAGTGACATAGATGGAAATCAAAGCTTTATACAATAAGCTGGTTTTTTTTTAAAGCAACCCTAATTTCCAAACAGACTTAGAGAATGGATTTCAGACTCAGCTGGTCTCAGTCCTCACTCCCACACCCATACTCACCCTTGCCTTTTCTGGACTAACAATATTTTTACTAAGAAACATGGGTATTACTTTCTTCTTTCTTTAGTTAAGAATGGTTTTTATCTTGGGGAGTAGGATAAAGGGAACTCAAAAAGTGATTTTATTAGTGCCTTACCAAAAACTGATATTTGATTTTTTTTTTAAAGTAAAAACATTAGAAGCCCAAATTTTTACCCTTAAAGCTATTTGCTGACACTGTATGTTTTCCTGAGACTTCAACTATGGGGCCCATGTTTAGATTAGGAAAGTAGAAAAGAAAAAGATGAAGACCTGGAGGTGCGGCCATACTGGCCAGGTTTGGGAGGTATCTTTATTCTACATGCTTATCTCTAATTCCAAACCTGTGCCAAAATATCACTTATGAGTCCCCACAGGTGGAAGGAAGCACCTTTTTAGTGGGTTGTTTGTTTTACTGTTTATTGTTTCAACAGCATTGCAGTGTTTTCTCCTACATGAGAATATTTTAATAACTACTACTCACAACCGATAATAATAGCCAAGGAATTGGATGATATTGCATCTCAGAGCATCTGAAATCCCACTGCCTGACTCTCCCATCCCGACCCACCTGGACCTCCTGCTAGTTTCCAAGCTGCTGATGTTTATGGGGCTCTAGGCAGCCCCTGGGCTCTTTAAAATCTGCTGGGTACAATGCAGCCTACCCCAGTTGAATCATTTCCTGCTCCAGCCTTGCTGATAATGAGAAGTTCAAGACAGGAAATAACAGTGTCAATATCAGTGGCTTTGCTTATAAAGTCCAAAAGCATTGTAGCCTTTAGACCACTGGCCCAAAACAGGTAGTTAAATGCAGACTTGCACCTTATAGATCTCCCTGAAATAAGAATCCGGTGGAGATGCACAGAAAGTACATCATTTTGCTTTTCTTGAGCTACCTATGGGTTAGTCACTTCGTGCATGAATAGTCAAAGTCAAGTTACCTGCTGTTGATTTACTCCTAGTATTCCCAGTGCCTTTTCCCTCCTCTTGTGAGTCTTAACGCTTCTATCTCGTATCCCTCTCTTGAGTGGCATTGAAACACTGGCAGTGACAGACATTCCCATGTTGCCAGTGAGGAAAAATCCAAGAAGGTGCTAGTGTCAGTCCTCAAGCAACATTCATTTTCATGTTAAAGTGTTCAAAAGAATAGGGCAGAACTTTTTAACTAGTGGAAGGAAAAGGCTCACACAATATTCAGTACTCTCAAATTCTGCCTTACTTTAGGGGCTTAATGACTAATCTGCTGGCAGACTTTGAGCCCTAAGTAATAGTCTCCATTGCCAAATTAGCACCTCAGTGAGTTTATGTTGCAGTTGTGAAATATGTGCGGTATATAACACAACAAATTACATTGGCCTGAGCTCCGTGGACCTAGAAAGATGTGATGGCTGTGTGCATGGCAAATTACAGTACAGTCTGCCTATTTTTCTACTTCTGGTTTCTAGGGTGAGCCAACGTAGCCAAGGGGTGAGTTTTGTCATGTATGGCTTTTCTTTGTTACTCCTCAGACCCCAAGCTTATAAATGTGTGCTAGGAAATTAACTCAGGGAAGAGGAGAAGCAAAGGAAAGCATTGGGGGTTGGGAATTGGTTTAGGGCATAGTTTTCTTGGATTTAAAATATATATATATATATAAGTATATAGTGGTACACACATTCAAACTGAAAAAATTACATCTGCAGGGCATTTGATGCCTCTGTTTGAATTCTGAGGGCAGAGTTTACTCCCACTCAGATCAGAGCTTTTAAGCATGGCCCCTGCCACGTGATAATGCACCAGGAGGGGTTTATATGCTTGGACTTTAGCCTATAGATATATGCAGTGGAAGATGCTGGAGGACCCTTTGGCCAGTCTCGAGGGTAAATGAGAGAAGGAGTTCTACTTATAAACTGTTACAAATCCGTCCTCAGTAATGGCTGCAGAGTTGATTAGACGATGTAAGGAGGTCCCCAGTGATTCCTGGGATAACAGCGACATGTAAGTCAACCACTGAACATTTGCTTGTAGCTGCTCTAGATTTTTGTTTTTATTGAAGGAAAAGGAGTATAAACATGGGACACACAGTCTGGAGGCTGCTTAAAGGGTTTCTCTTGTTTAAAGCTTATATTGAAATGTCAGCGTCTTGTGGTAGGCTAACAATTGCCATGTTGGAGCTTAAAACTTGAGTTGTGCTTGAGCAACTGAGTTACCAAGAGTTACCAAATGGTAACTCTTATTTTTCCATTGCAGATTGGCTGATTAATACTTGCATTGGTCCAGGTTTTATAAATTGGAGACATAGAAATTACCATGTCCTTTTGAACTGGCCTTAGACAGATTTTGTTCTTAGAGAACAGTTTTGTAAGTGGTTATCATGTTCCCTACTAGGGCAATGAGGTTTATTGCAATTATGTATTCAGACTCTTTCATTTGAAACATTTAACATTGGAGTAAATATTTCCATGAGCATCAGTCTCTTCTATGTAGACTGGATTCCAGTTCACATTTATGTTCACACCTAAATAAAGATTAACAAATGGGAATAATTATTTTATCTGAAATTTCTATACATGTGAAATTATTTCTCAGTTGTACCCAAACCATCTTTGGGCATGCTTTAAAGTGGTTGACCAGGACCAAAAGTTGCTGGCCCCCAACATGTTCTCAGTGGTGAGAGCTTCACTCTTGCCTTTCCTGACATTGGACCCAGGTGCTTGCCACACGCATGCTCTCCCTTTGCCCCCCCCACCCCCACCCCCAACCACACACAGCAGAGAGGGGTTTTCTGTTTGTTCAGGAAAGATGTGGATTTATACTGAAAGCTCCATATTCTCCTGATTAAG